CTACGAAATCCCTTGAGGAAGGTAGGAAAGGTTCCCTACTAGGGACCTCCAAAGTTCAAAATTGCATAGAAATGCGCCCTCGAGGCCTCTCTGAATCAGTATCAAAGGGCCCCCGGCAAAAAGGACCCTTTTGTCGAATCGGCGATAAAGAGCCCGGTGCCTTGAAGGTCCTTAGAAGCGGTATAAAACCGCATCAAGGCCTCTTCAAATCGGCAATAAATGGTCCCTTGGAAACGGCAAAAAAGGACTCCTTCGAATCAGATAAAGGGGCTCTTTTAAGGTCCTTAGAAGCGGCAAAAAAAGGCTCCATCGAGTCTTCTTCGAATCGGCAATTAATGAGTCCTTCAGGGCTCTTTCGAAATGGCAAAAAAGGACCCCTTTGGACTTATTCGAATCAGAAAAAAGGGCTCTCAAAATGCAACGCCCTTAGATCCGGCATAAAAAAGCTCCTTCAGGGCGCTCTCCGAATCGGCAATAAAGAGTCCTGTCCTCTCAGGAGTCTCGGGGCCCTTTCTCGAGGACGAACCGAAAAAGCCCTCGGGCGCTTCTTCGAAACGGCGAAATACGGCCCTTCAAATCGGCCAAAAGGGGCTCCTCCGGGGCCCCTTTTGGCCGATGAAAGTGGGGCGATCGCCCCATCGCCACCCCGGCCAGTCCGTCCCTGCTAATGAGGCAAATGCAGATGTTATCACAATTGGATGATGAGGTTATGTTTGTTTATGTTTTCGGCGCGGTGCACAGAGTCCCTTTGTACTGAGAGTCAAGACAATGTGAATCAATTTCTGATTGGCTCTCGTACTTTGGGCCTCCACGGTGTCACAATTTTCACCGACAAAGACTATAACCTGCAGTAGTGCACACAGACCCCTAACAGGCCGACCACCAAGGACTGATTTTGATTGGGCCGCCTAAAGTGTCCTTTTTCAAATGGGCGCCAGCGCCATAATTCAAAAAAGCCCTAATCATGTTCAAGTCCCGTTTTATGAAATATTACATAACGTGCAATTGAAGGCGCGGGCCAGGAATGGATCCCAGGAGCTCTGATAGCTCTCTTATACCAAACTTATAGCAACTTGAGACTAAAGAGGGCCCTTATAAGAGTTTAAACGTCAGGTTTGAGAAGGGTAAAGGTGGGGGGAGGGAGGTATACCTAAATCGAACATGCAGGCTTAAAACGATGCTGGAATCGATTTTTACTTTTTTCTTAAAATGAGAGCCTAATGCTTCTGAAAGTGGCATACCCGAATTTTTGACCCATAATTTGTCCTCAGAATGACTGTCTCATTTGACGTTTGCACAATTTCACAAACTTCTTCCTCTCAAAGAAAATTTATTTCTATTCTTGGATACAAATTTTTATGAAGCAGCCTAAACAATGGTGACATGAAAACTAACAAGAGAGAAAAGGCAGGATAAAGGCTGTAAATAACTATATATTTAATAATATTTTAAATAATTTTTAAATAATATACCTATTTTTAGCCTTGTTTTCCATTTTTCTCCCTCTTCGTTTCCATGTTTCTATTCTTGGGGACTTGTTTCTTAACAGAAAGAAATCACTATCATGATTTAATTACTTATGAAATGTACGAATACTGTCATAAAACAGTAACTTTTGTTGACGCATCCAGGAAAATTAAATTTGGCGATTATAGTAAGGAAGACACTATTAAGAAAATAACAAAATATTTTTAATAAAAGCTCACAAAAAAGTCTTTCATTCATTACAAGAAAGTCATTATAACAACATTTGTGATTGAGGTAGGTGACACTCATCATCTAACTAGCGACGGCCCAAAACCAAACAGGGGCTTTATCAGCACTTTTGCAGATGATACTGCCTTAGCAGAAAGAAGCAAAGACACTTCTATTTCTAGGTTGTAACATATGGCACAATGCAAAAAACAAAAAAAAATGTACAGAAAAGATTTCAAGAACATAAAAATAATGCAATAAATATTACAAAAAATCATTCCTCAATATCAGACCATTTGAGGGACTCTAATTGCAAACCAGATAAAAAGATGTACAAAAAAGATTTCAAGAACACAAGAATAATGCAAAAAATAATACAAAAAATCATTCCTCAATAACAGACCATTTGAGGGACTCTAATTGCAAACCAGATTAAAAGATGTACAAAAAAGATTTCAAGAACACAAAAATAATGCAAATAATAATACAAAAAATCATTCCTCAATAACAGACCATTTGAGGGACTCTAATTGCAAACCAGATAAGTGCAAAGTAAACCTAATTACAGAGTGTGATAAAGGCAAAAAATGAAACGTACTTGAACAATTAGAAACAGACCGGTATAAAAATGAAGAGCTCCATAACACTCAATTAGAGAGCTATGTGACGACATTGACAAGCGCTAGATAGTTAGGAGTGAATTTAGACTCGAGACTTAGCTTTAATGAAAACATCGTTTTTTTGAATACTGGACAGTATAAAACCATCAAAGTACACATATGGACAACATACACTAAGGACCTTTGAACTCCCATCAAGATTTAATAGTCTGTAAAGATATTAATGAGAGTGTAAATGAGAGTGAAAATTAATGAGAGTGAAATTAATGAGAGAGAAAATTGCAGCTCAGTTGGCCTCTTTGTATAATGAGCCAATAATGGCTCCGCAAAGAGGACACTTGACGGGCACAAAGTAGGAATGATGGGTGGCGATTGTGCCATCTGCAATGGTATAAGTGTACTTTGCTGGTTTTATACCGGTCAGTATACAATTTGAACAGAAAATGGCGTGCCCGCAGGGGTCAGCAGAATATACAAATTCTTCTTGCTGGCAGGATACACAGATTTCTTTTCTGTTCTGGTAGACTTTGGTTTTATTCCCTACGGACACCGCCATTTTCGGAAGACTATGTTGCTTCTTCGACTGCCGCTTGGTGAAGTGCATTTTCTCATCTGCTATGACTACCATTCTCTGCCATGCTGGAAAAGAAGAAGAAATCTTCATTACTTTCGAACAATAAAAATGTAAAGCTTGATACAGCGAAAAAATTGATCTAAAATGTATTTGAAGGAAAAAATTGATTAAAATCGGACAAAAACAACTCTCAAATCTGGACATGTGTTACTGCTTGTAAACAGATTTTACATCATATTGTTCCCTTGCTGCGTAATAAACACATCATCAGGTTCTTTTGCAAAGTAGCAATAAGAGATTAGAGAGAAATGAAATAATAAAAATATACATAAGTCCAATGATACATTCTCATCTCAGATTTCCTTATTTGTACAGAAAGGTAAAATCACCAAAATATCTCCTTGAAAACACTTGAATTCTTTGAAATGAGTGAAAAAAATTTAAATTAATTGCTGTTTAAGTTTTTTTTTCCGATGAAAAATAAAACATGAAAGATGATTTGCAACAGCTTAAAGACATCCGTATTTCAACAGTGGTCATTCAGATGAATATATTGCATACAAACTAAACTAGAAAGAGAGAACTGACTTCACTTCCTCCTCATCATTTCTTCGAATGAGCCTAAAATTAATGAATCTATTTCATCTTCCTTAATTTCAAAGTTACAACTTCTCAACGCAACCTGGTTTTAACATTCACGAGACACAAGGGAGAGAATGTTGTCTATCTTTTCCTTCCAGCAGTGATGCTAATGTTTTTTTTTTTTTGACATCCATTGAAATGTGCATCTTTGGAGCTGAAACGTTACATATTTTATGTAAACATAAACATGAACAACTAATACCTTCTTCCTCATCTGACTCGCTTGAACTGTCAGTTGGGTCATTCAGATCATATCCTCCTCTGTTGATCCACCGGGTCATTTGATTATGAACAGCAGCTGTAACAAAGATGCAACATTATTAATTAATTGAAAATCTTCAAGCAGACTGACTTGAGAAGGAGCTAACTAAAATAGTAAACTGACTTTTCAGAGGGACTGAAATATGTAAATTACACATGATTCATTAATTACAGTAAAATCTGAGTGTCATTTGTATGTAAGTTGTTAATATGATCCAGTGGCTTCCAAAGCATCGCCCTCGGCTAACTACTTGAAAAATTACATCATTTCACTTAAAATGACAGTCTAGGGAGTTATTGGCACCATTTAATGACCAAAGGATTAGTAATAAATCAATAAACATGGTCGCTATTCCTCCTTTTAAAATTGCCAATTCTCGCAAATGATGTGTAGAATGTAGTATCCTCACCATATCTATCTATTGAAAAGTATTAATAGAAAACTTAAATTCACACAATTCAAAGACAAGCGGAAAAAAAAAAAATACAGTGAGTAATTGCATCTATTTCATTTTATTTTTTAAAAAGGGGTGCTCGATGTCTTATTTTTTATTTTTAATTTTCCTTTGATCTCGTTTTCTGTCAATTTTTTCCTCATGTTTAATTGACAGCAATGATTTTGGATGCTTGGTTACTGATCACAACAAAAACTTATTGAGTGACGAGCCATAAAACATCAGGTGTTTGAAAGTCCAATAAAACAAATGATGTGATGTGATTAATTGTTTTTGCTTGTACCTGGTAATCTAATTATCTTCGTGGCTCACAAAGACCTCAAGAGATGAAGGAGAAAAGCGAAGATGTTTTGAGAAACCAATGAAACATATTAAAACCAAGTATTTTTAAGTTTATAAAAAAAAACCTAAGATTAAAAGCCTAATTTGAAGGATGAAGGGTTACACAAAGGCGAACTCTTCATGGAGGTCACAATAAATAGAAATTACTCTGGTGGATTATGAAAATTCAGTTGAGAAAAAAAATTGATTTTTAACAAATCAGAACTTCCAGGATTCTATTGAGAAACAAACAGCCCTGTTTTCATTATCACTGCTATGCAAGCCATGAATGTAATCACTTATTAATAAAATTCTTCATCACACTCCAAAATTAGAAACAATACTTACCGATACGAGAACTGTCCTCTTCCAAATCGTACTCATTGAAATTATTTATAAGGTCTAAGCTATGAGCTTGAGCCCTACGACCTCTGGCTTGACGTACTCTGCGAGATGCTCCTCGAGAGGCATTTTTATTTCTGTCAACTGCAGCCGTGACTATTTGCGTTGTTCGGGAACTGGCGATGGGAACCCCTCTATTAGGTCTTCTTATCACCCTTGTTCTCGTTTTCGGCAATGTTGTTTCTGCATCAGAGAGAATAAATGTGCGTATTTATTTACCTAAGTCTATTCTAATTCTCAAGAGAAATTATTTCCTGATCAGTGGCTCTGCAACACCTACTTATGTGTTCAGTTTTCGCGGTCATGTTAGACCTGGTATCTCCAGCAATCAGTCTCGGCTCTACGCACACTGTTACATGTAAGAATTTGCAAATTTCCATCCGATCACATCACAATTCATGGACTTAATTAACTTTTGGAGTGGGAAGTTTTTTGGGTCAGCTTATACACAAAGTCACTTATAGCCAGTCCGATTCTGTATCAGCTCTGAGAAAACCTAGTGGGCCCTTTGGAGTGTTAAATATTGAGTTTCCTACTGGGCGCCCCGACAATTTTTGCGCACGGTGCTGTTAGGTAAACTTTTAAGAATGAATGAACATTCGAGAAAAATATTAGAGCTTGCACCTCCGAATTCTTCAAATTCAAATTGCGACCTGACACAAACATACCCAAACAATTCAAGAAACATGCGAAGTAATTGAGACCTAAAAAAAGATTGAATTAAACTAAATACATTGAACACAAATGGTTTAAGCTATTCTTACCTTCGATTCGGTCTAACTTCTTGCTTATTTCAAGAAGAGTGTTGTTGCTGCCGCTGTTGTTATGCAATGGCAGTGAGGCGAAGGGTGGTCTTGATGAGTTTTGCAGCTGATGCGTTGTCTCTCTTGAATTTGCAGGGGTGTTAGCTCTGCGCTACTGATCAGTTGCCGCCTTTGAAGTTACGGGGATGTTAGCCCTGTGTTGCTGATAAGTTGCCGCCCTTGAAGTTACGGGGGAGTTAGCCCTGTGCTGCTGATGAGTAGCCTCTTTAAAGTTGCGGAGGTGTTCGCCCTCACTTGGCCAAGTCTGTCCAGTTTCTTCTTGCTCTGAGTGGAGCATGCAAACGGGAAGCTGTCTCTTTCTAAACGATCATTAGGATTGTTGGAGTTTTTTAGAATCGGCAAAGGGTACTCTAAATGGAGTTTTGTTGCGTGGCTGCGCCGTACTACTTTTACACCATTCGAGGGCAGAGACATCAAACTGTGTCTCGTCAGAATCTTCATCATCATAATCATTTTCGTCTTGAATTCTTGGTCGTTTAAGTCGTTCTTCCTCATCGTCCTTTCCCTAATCCTCTGAGGTAAATGCTTTCTTCCTCTTCTGGCTTTTTCCCCTCCCCAAAGTTTCTTGGTCTGCGCTGTTCTCTACGTCGGAGCGCTCTGTTGCCCTTCTTCAGAATACTGCTGCAAGCGACAACTCGTCTGGAACATGAACAAAAAGCCCAACACATTAAGGCGCGGAACAACTACAGGGAAATAAAATAACTCTCACTGTTAGCAGAGTGTCAAAAATAAGATGTGGCTCATTCAGAATAAAAAATCGGAAGGTCTTGAATCTATGTTGTTATTGAAAAAAATTGAATAACCTGCATTTGCATTGCTTGAGACTGATCTGCATTCCTGACAAAGTAACAATGAGCCTCTAGACAGGGTAAGAACTGGAGGCTCTAAGCACATGAATCTGCATCAGAATTTTGCGTAGAATTCAATGGTACAAACGGGAATTCATGAAACCAACTAATAAGCGAGATATTTGCGTAAATAGACTGCGCATTTTTGTAAATCCCGCTCGCCTAATATACGAATGACGTCACATTTGTAGCCAATAGGATTGTCGCAGCGCTGCGCAGCGCCGACTGAGCATCGGCCATCGAAAACGTCCAACGCTCCCAACGCCGGGATCGTAAACAAACGAAAATTGATAACAGGAAGGACCCAAGCACCCAAGCAACTCGAAATCTTTTAATTTTCATTAATTACAGTCCATTTTCGACTTCAAGAAAGCATTTGACAACCATTTTCCTCGTATTTTATAACCTGGAGCCACAGCCTATCGGCTCATTGTAATGTGCACTCTGAGAATCAGTTCCACAAGTCCAAACCCTGACATTCTTTTCTTTGACCATTCTATTTTCATTCTCGCCACAATTTAAGTGTTATGCAGTTTCTTTATCTAAAATATGTGGTCTTGAATTCATTCAGGAGTCAGAAGTTTACCTTTCTTTTAGTATTACAGCCCTTTGACCCCTCAAACTTCACCGATATGACCTCATGTAGTTCAAGGTTTCTCTGGCCCGAACCGAGTGATTACACATCTGAGGTGTGTCTCATGGTTCTTCAAATTAGCAGTTTAGAACTAAATTAGGGACTACAGTGACTCAATCCAGTTCTGCTTTCTTGTTCAATGTTTGTTATCAGTGTCTGTTCTTTTTCGTGACCAATCTAGAGCATGCACTGTTACGCTATAAGTACAGGTATTATTGCTTTTTTCCTGCTGTCAGACCTTTTTCTTAAGCCTGCTGATTCACCACAGAATCTGCCCTAGTTGTGTAAATAATTTGGTGTGTAGTTATTGAGTTAATACCTCCTTGCGGTGATGCAAACTTTCTCAGATCCGTCATAAGTGGGTATTGCATTTAGACGATCACTCGGACCAGATGAAATCACTGCCCTAGCAGCTTCAAATTTATACTTTGATCTCTGATTCACTAATAAATAACACTTTATGGTGTCATTTATATTTAATCAGTTCAAAGCTAATTCGACAATGAATCATCAATGGACCGATCGAAAAAGGAATTTTCTGGTGCGTGCTACGGCTGAATCGACATTACCTACAACTCAACTTTCGAAAGCATGAACCTTAAAAAAATTCATCAGGAACTGGTACTTGGTAAGTAATAATTATGTTAGCACTCTCCTATTTCTGAAGAGATGTGTGTCCTGTAAATTTCAGAATATACTCTCCTGCCATATATCTAAAGAGGAATACAACATCTCAAGTGGGTGAATTTATAAAATTGTGGAAATTGGTCATTTAAAGGGCTTTTCTGCTCGAAGACATGACTGAACCAATCTGAAAGCTGTGAGTTACGAATGATGGAGGGTCCAAGGTGTCTTCCCTGCTTTAAAAGATAAGGAATTGTGCCTCAGGGCTTAAATGCTATTGGAAATTCCAAACATTGTGAATTCAAATGCACGCTACACTTCATCAATGAATATGGAAATTTGTCTCAGAGAAAATCTGATAAGACCATTCTGGTAGTTATTTATTCCTGGTTTCTTAATTTCAGAATTTTTGTATTCTAGTTATCATCAAATGCTAATCAACAGATATTGCACAAAACAGTTGCTAATTATTTGAGGATTCATTTCTTAATCAGTATGTTTTATGTGTTTCATGCAGCGACGAGCCTTACTGAATTTCATGAAATGAAGTGATCACACCTACTTACCTGCAACATAGTTAGATCATCCTCCAAGCTTTAAGAAAATATTTTTCCTCTCTTTTAAGAATTCAGGGCGAGTAAAACCTGCTCAACAAAAGTTTGTGTAAGATTGTTCCATTCAAAATCACCTAAGAATCATTTCAATGGTAAAGTTGCCAATGATTCCTATTGAAAGTCGTTTGGTTCACTGAATTTTTCAGGTACCGAAAGATGAAAGGATCTTGAAAAGTCATAGAATTACATCCCACCATGAAAACAAGTTGGGAAAAACAGTTCAGATTGACCAGGGATGACATTTGTAACATTTACTTCTCAAACCAATCTAATGGCCAAACATAGGTATCATTTGCAAAACGTGTAAATTACATATCCTGAATACGTTGCTCAAACTTTCTACATCCAGTTCAGATTTTCAAAGGGAAGCAAGTCAGCATATTGTTTGAATTAATTACTGAATTTTCTGCCCATGTAGAGGAAAAATATCACATTTCAGAGATTTTGTTGAATGATTTTTTAATTGAGAAATTAAGAGGAACAGGAAGTCTGAAACTTTGTGAATTTAGGTAAGTGGTTTCCCAGTTTAGCCTTGTCATTAACATCCTCTTTTTGCCATGAATGATTATCTACAAACGTAAGTATACTCACACTAACTGTCCAACAACAGATCCGTATGTACCCTGGTGATACCTTAGTAACTTCAGATATCTTACCTTTTGAACTACTTGAATGGTTGAAAAATATTTTCACTTCAAGACGGATGGTCATGTCCTGATTGAAGCTTTCGAAAATTGAATGTAGTGTCGATTCAGCCATAGCACGCATCAGAAAATTCCTTTTTCGATCGGTCCATTGATGATTCATTGTCGAATTAGCTTTGAACTGATTAAATATAAATGACACCATAAAGTGTTATTTATTAGTGAATCAGAGATCAAAGTATAAATTTGAAGCTGCTAGGGCAGTGATTTCATCTGGTCCGAGTGATCGTCTAAATGCAATACCCACTTATGACGGATCTGAGAAAGTTTGCATCACCGCAAGGAGGTATTAACTCAATAACTACACACCAAATTATTTACACAACTAGGGCAGATTCTGTGGTGAATCAGCAGGCTTAAGAAAAAGGTCTGACAGCAGGAAAAAAGCAATAATACCTGTACTTATAGCGTAACAGTGCATGCTCTAGATTGGTCACGAAAAAGAACAGACACTGATAACAAACATTGAACAAGAAAGCAGAACTGGATTGAGTCACTGTAGTCCCTAATTTAGTTCTAAACTGCTAATTTGAAGAACCATGAGACACACCTCAGATGTGTAATCACTCGGTTCGGGCCAGAGAAACCTTGAACTACATGAGGTCATATCGGTGAAGTTTGAGGGGTCAAAGGGCTGTAATACTAAAAGAAAGGTAAACTTCTGACTCCTGAATGAATTCAAGACCACATATTTTAGATAAAGAAACTGCATAACACTTAAATTGTGGCGAGAATGAAAATAGAATGGTCAAAGAAAAGAATGTCAGGGTTTGGACTTGTGGAACTGATTCTCAGAGTGCACATTACAATGAGCCGATAGGCTGTGGCTCCAGGTTATAAAATACGAGGAA